AAATAAATAAATAAATAAATAAATAAATAAATAAATAAATAAATAAACTTTGGAGGTCTTCTAGTCCAACCCCCTGCTTAGGCAGGAAACCCTACACCACTTCAGATAAATGGTTATCCAACCTCTTCTTAAAAACTTCCAGTGTTGAAATAGAAATAGAAATAGAAATAGAAATAGAGAATAGAATTCTTTTATTGGCCAAGTGTGATTGGAAACACAAGGAATTTGTCTTTGGTGCATACACTCTCAGTGTACGTAAGAAAAAATAAAATATATTCTTCAAGAATCTAAGATACAACACTTAGTGATAGTCACAGGATACTAGTAAGCAATCAAATCATACTAGGAACCATTTGATATATCGATATTTGCGACTGATTATAATCCATGATTCTCCAGGACAGGGCCTAGAGCAGAGGTCTTCAAACTTGGCAGCTTTAAGACTTGTGGACTTCAAGTCCCAGAATTCTCCAGCCTGCATAGCTTAACGTGCATCTTAACGTGACCCAGGTTGAGAAATACCTGTAAGAGGCTGGCTGGGGAATTCTGGGAGTCCACACATCTTAATGTGACTCAGGTTGAGAAACATTACTCTAAAACTGAAATGAACAGACTGGGGAAAAAAAGAGATGCTAGCACAAGGGAAAACAGACATCCAACTAAGATACTCAAAGTAGCATAAATCACATCCTGATTAGGTATTATATCGACTTACCTCTGTGGGGCTTAGTTGCTTTGTCCCGACATACGTCGCCCCGAAGTGATAATTGGAATCCCCGACTGTGCTGAGGGCCACCGTATGATTGACCTGAAGAAAGAAACAGAAAAGGTCAGAAAAGGACACCTAGAAGCAGGGTGTCTAAGCAGACATGCACCAGGTTAGCCGAGGCGAGGAAGAAACACCACCAGGTGATCACACAGCAAGATCCTTGAAACGAAGCGTTGCTTACGTAATAAGCGGATGCGCCCAAAATTGAACGACGTAGACAAACACGCTGGAGGAAAAAAAACAACCCAACGATTTGCTCACAGCAGTGTCAGTGCAGAGATGTAGCCGTGTCTACATCGGAGCTCGCCAATTCCTTCGTGACTTGCTTCCGAAAAAAAAGCGGTGTAAGTGTCAAAAGAAATTAAAATGGAGGGGAAAAACCATCTGAGACGGAAAACCATCACCTCTGTTTTGAACTCCCTGGCCACGTGCAAATACTTACTTGTGAGTAAAGCCACCCTAACCTCATTGGTTTTCCAGTAATCGTGCACAGGAGCCCACTGGCACGTTATTTCCCCCACCTGTGCAGTGTAAATGTGGAACCCTGAAAGCAGAAATGGGCAATGCATGGCCCTCCAGAGTTGGATGGCCAAGCCTATCGTCCTTCTAGAAGACCTCCAAGGTCCTTTCCAGCACTATTCTGATTGACGGATTGATTGAAATGGTGTAGGATCTCCTGCCTGAGTGCTTGAGCAGAGGGTTGGACCAGGAGACCTCCAAGGTCTCAGAGTTGGGACTACCAAGCCTATCATCCGTCACCCCTGCTTGTGCTGGCTACAGCTGATAAGATATAAAAATAATATACCAACTGGCATTGAATAAATGAATTTATTTATTTTATTTATTTGTTTCAATTTGTATACCGCCCTTCTCCAGCAGGACTCAGGGCGGTGAACAGCCAGAATAAAACAGAACATACAAAATTTAAAAACAGTTTAAAAATGATTCAATATTTTTGGCCGCAATTTAAAACAACCCAATTAAAATCAATTAATTTAACCAAAAACAGTGGGATTGAGCCAGCCCGGCTAGGTGAAATAAATAAGTTTTCAGGGCCTGACGAAAAGTCCGGAGGTCTGGTATTGTACGTATCTCTGGGGGGAGGTTGTTCCAGAGGGCAGGCGCCGCCACAGAGAAGGCTCTCCCCCTGGGGGTCGCCAGCCGACACTGTCCGGCAGACGGCACCCTGAGGAGGCCCTCTCTGTGCGAGCGTACTGGCCGGTGGGAGGCTATTGGTGGCAGAAGGCGGTCTCGTAAATACCAGCTGAATGAATATACCAGCTCTATTCTGATTGACTGATATGATGTAAGGGGGTTGGACTGGAACAGGGGTCTCCAAACTTGGCCGCTTTTAAGACTTGTGGACTTCAATTCCCAGAATTTCTCAGCCAGGAAAGCTGGCTGAGGAATTCTGGGAGCTGAAATCCACAAGTCTTAAAACGGCCAAGGGTGGAGACCCCTGGACCCGAAGACCTCCAAGGTCCCAGAGTTGGGACTACCAAGCCTATCATCTGTCACCCCTGCTTGTGCTGGCCAGAGCTGATAAGATATAAAAATAATATACCAACTGGCACTGAATGAATGAATGAATATACCAACTGGTTGGTGATATATCATTGCATTCGCTTGCTTCACTCTCTTTTTGTTCTTTTAAATAATTTTCCTGGCCATTGATGGAATAAATATTATTGGTTGATCAATGAATTGAAGGCCTTGGTCAAAAGCCTAGAGGGAAGGGAAATATTAAGGAGAAGGAACCCGGGGCGGTTTTGACGACACTTTTTAAGAATGCTGCGTTTTTGTTGAGTTTACGAGGGATTGTTGATCCCAGGCAGACAATTGTAAGGAAAGCAAAACTATTCCAAAGCTGAATGCAAATAGGGAAAGAATTTAATCCTTCCTCCAGGCACTGGGAGCCGCGCCCCTCTAGATCTTGCCACATCTGCTAAGCCCCTGGTGGGGGACGACGGGCGGAACTGAACATCTGGAGAGCTACAGGTTGCAGACTCTATCACTGATTTGTCACACAGTCCCACACTCTTACCTGAAAGTGATTGCTGAGACCTTTGTTTACCGTTAATTTCACCCCCTCCATTTGGATAGGAAACAATTCTGCAAAGGAAAGAAGGAACTGCTGTCAGCAGTTGTTTTTCTCCCGCTGAGCTTTTTTCTTCTACAAAATCAGGTCTTGGTTAAAACTAGAGGAAAGGAGGATCAGTGAAAACTGGAAGTAATTGCCGAAATGCCTACCCTATATATAGTCCTCGACTTACAACCACAGTTGGAACCAGATTTTCTATTCCCAAGTAAGGAAGAATTCCGGCAGTTGAAGTCCACATCCCTTAAGTGGGTTGAGGTTGAGAAAGGCTGCGGCTGAAAATCTGGAACCTTTCAACACTCTGTTGTTCGATTCGAGAACCATCAAGCAGGATGCTAGGCAGGCAGTCCTCAACTTACAACAGTGGTGGGATTCAAATAATTTAACAACTGTTTCTCTGCCCTAATGACCGGCTCGGTGGGCGTGGCCGTGGTGGGCGTGGCCAGGGATGTGACAGGCAGCACTCGGCCTCCAGAACACACCCCCGGGAGCCAAAACGGGCACGTGGGGACTCCTGGAAGGGGCAGGCCCAGCCAGCAATTTAACAACTGATTTGCCCAAACCGGCTGAATCCTGCCATCGACTTACAACAGTTCGTTCAAAGTTACAAGGGCACTGCAAAAAGTGACTTATGACCAGTTTTCACAGTTACAACCTTTGTAGCATCCCCGTGATCACACAATCAAAATTCAGATGCTTGGCCACCGGTTCATACTTACGACCGCTGCGGTGTCCCAAGCTCACGGGATCCCCCTTTTGGCGATCTCCTGACAAGCAAAGTCGGTGGGGAAGCCAGATTCACTTAACAACCGGGTTACTAACTTATCAATGGCAGTGATTCGCTTAACAACTGCAGCAAGTAAGGTCGTAAAATGGGACGCGACACGCTTAACAAATTGTCTCACTCAACGACAGAAACGTCGGGCTCGATTGTGGCCGTAAGTCGAGGACAACCTGTAGTCTTCTGTTTCCTGACCTGGTTGACCTCACAAGACTGACACATACAGATTTGCTTCCCCAGCTCTGTAAGAAGCACAAGAGCTTCAAAAAGCAAGTCAATCTTTTGCTCTTGAGATGTGTGGACTTCAACTCCCATCCTTCTCAATCCTGGTTGCCATTGCCGAGAATTCTGGGAGTAGCAATAGCAATAAGACTTATATACCGCTTCACAGTGCTTTTACAGCCCTCTCTAAGCAGTTTACAGAGTCAGCCTCTTGCCACCAACAATCTGGGTCCTCATTTGACCCATCTCGGAAGGATGGAAGGCTGAACCAACCTTGAGCCACTCAGGATCGAACTGCTGGCAGTGGGCAGAGGGAGGGAGGGAGGGAGGGAGGGAGGGAGGGAGGGAAGGAAGGAAGGAAGGAAGGAAGGAAGGAAGGAAGGGGAAAAGGAAAAGCAATAGAACTTAGACTTATATACTGCTTCACAGTGCTTTTACAGCCCTCTCTAAGCAGTTTACAGAGTCAGCCTATGGCCCCCAACAATTTTGGGTCCTCATTTTACCCACCTCGGAAGGATGGAAGGCTGAGTCAACCTTGAGATGGTCAGGATCGAACTCCTGACTGTGGGCAAAGTTAGCCTGCAACACTGCATTCTGACCATTGCACACCACAGAAGGGAGGGAGAGAGGGACGGAGGAAGGAAGGGGAAAAGGAAGAGCAATAAGCACTTAGATTTATATACCACTTTACGGTGCTTTATAGCCCTCTCTAAGCGGTTTACAGAGTCATTATTACTGCCCCCAACAATCTCGGTCCTCATTTGACGGTCTAAGGCCGAGTCAACCTTGAGCCTGGTGAGATTTGAACTGCCAAATTGCAGGCAGCCAGCAGAAGTAGCCTGCAGTACCACACTCTAACCACTGAGCCACCGCGGCTCACAGAGGTCCATGCATCTGGATAAAGTACGTTAAGGTTGCGGCTGATACAGCTGTCGCGCTGCACGACACTCAAATGCGATTTACCTTTGCATTTCCGATGACATTCCTCAAAAGTGCCGGGGTTAGGGAGCTGGTCGCATTTTTCTTCTGCACTGCGATCTTGCACGGGGGGAACCAATCCGGTGACAGGAGGCATGGTGAAACCCGGCGGTACCGATACTAGGCCCGAGCCTGGCCCTGACACTGTAGGAGGGGGTGCCGGAGAGCTGGCAGCCAGGACGTTGCCCATGGTGTAAACTGGAGAGTAGGAAAAGAGTGGCTTATTATTACATGGCAGATGGTTTAGGCCAAGGGTGTCAAAACTCCATTTCATTGAGGGCCGCATCAGGGTTGTGTTTGATCTCGGGAGGGGGGGGGACAGGGTGGGCGTGGCCAGCTCGATGTTAATCATGTTGGGGGCGCCCGTATGGCCTGAGTGCTGTGCCAGCAAAAACTGGCTCCCGAGCTCCGTTTTCGGCTGCGACGGCCTTCTTGTTGTGGCCCGCCAGCGGCCAGCAGCAGATCTGGACAGAGAGGAGGTTGGGGAGGAACGTGGGCCAGTCCTGCAGCCTGGGGAGGGCTCTGCGTCGGAGGCAGAGAGGGGGCCAAGGCCATCTGGTAGTTTTTTTTTTAACGGGACGTGAGCTTTTGCAGGAAGCAATTAGTTCATCTGGTCGCTTCAAGCTCTGGAAAAGTTCTGTTTGACTCTGTGCTAAGTTTGGCCTTGCCCTGCTAGTTTCTCTGGCAGCATTCCAAGAGAGATAAGGTGGGTGTTTATAAACATTCCCCTGAAAGACTGTTTGTGAAGCCTTGCGGACTGTGAAGGACAATAATTCACAGCCGTGTAAATAAAAGAGGTTTTACCGGGACTGTGTTTTATGCTTTCTAAGGAAGCCTAGATCAGAACACTCCTTGCAACCCTCTGCCAGCGAAAAGGGAACTTGGGAGGGTCGCCCGCGGCCTTCCCGAGCTCCGTTTTCACTGGCAGAAGCACCGCGGGCCGGTCCTTTACTATTTCCAGGGTGGCCCCACGGGCCAGATCTAAGCACCCCGTGGGCTGGATCCGCCCCCCCCCACAGGGCCTTGAGTTTGTGACACCTCTGGTTTAGGTCTTCAGAAGAGCCCATGGTTTTGTGCCTTCCACAATGTGGGTCTTAAGCGCCATCCTTTTTCAGCTAAAAACACTTCGTGCAAAACAACGGAGCAGAGACCGGCTGGGGAGCAGAAAGCATGTCAAAGGAGCCCCCTTTCTTTACTCTCGTGTGTGCAAAGCAGATTGCAAAGGTCCCCCTCTTTCTAAAAAAATGCCACAAGGATGCCGCACTATTGTCAATTTTGCATTGGCCCATCAAAGATGCAAGACGCTTATGCTGTACATTCAGGAGAAACGGTGGCCAAGGGCTGCCAATCAACTTAACTTCTCTGAGTTATGAGTTTTGAGATTTTTTTTTTGTTTTTTTTAAAATTTGATTTATATGCCGCCCTTCTCCGGAGACTCAGGGCGGCTTACAATGCGCTAAGCAATAGCCTTCATTCTTTTGTATATTTTATACAAAGTCAGCTTATTGCCCCCACAAACTGGGTCCTCATTTCACCTACCTTAGAAAGGATGGAAGGCTGAGTCAACCTTGAGCCTTGGAGAGATTCGAACCAGCAGAAATTGCAGGCAGCTGTGTTAATAACAGGGTGCACTAAACCACTGTACTATCAAGGCTCTTGTTTGTTCCTTCATTTTTGTTTCTGGGTAAATATAGAGGGGTGTGTGTGTGTATAGCGATAACAATCAAAGTGCGTGGACTCTGTGAAAATTACTTACTAGAAGCAGAACTGGAACGAAGGGCAAAAATCAAACTGGGAGCCTATTCATGAATGTGGCAGCCCCTCAAACACTGAAACACAACTATGTCAAAGAGATTCACCAAAGCTTTAAAATGCATTTGTGACCCTGAGAAACAGCTTTTGTCCCAGACTTGCTTCCAACACACCGCAACCACCCAACAGAATCTTAAAAGCAATTAAAACGCACCATAAAACGCAGAATTGGACGGGCAGTCAAAAAGCCCAGCAGCAGATATCTTGCGCTGTATTGTGGTCGTAAATCGAGGATTATCTCAACATACAGACCTCTCACATCCTAGACATAAAGGCAGTGGTGGATTCCTCCCGGTTCTTTCTGGTTCTTGCAGAACGGTAGTAAAAGCGACAGGAGGCTCTGCCCACCTGCCCGGATGACATAATTGACGCTCTGTGCATGTGCAGAAGCGTATGTGCACGCTCCCGTTGCAAACCGGTACTAAAGGTAAGTAGAACCCACCCCTGCATAAAGAGTTTCCACCACTCCTCCTGTTGGGATGCCACTATAGGGCATTGCATGCCAAACATCTAGACAGAGGGGCAGCTATTTCCCCTCATGCCACCACTCTGCTGAACACTTCATTCCCATACTGTTTATGTCTTAAGCCTATTTACCCATGGTGTATGGCTGTAGTATTATTTTTATCCTTCTCATCTTTCCTACTACCCCATTGGTATCATATTTTCCAAAGCACCAGAAGGCCAGGACAACAAACAAACGGATAGAAACTCATCAAAGAGAGAAGCAATTCTGGAATTAAGGAGACATTTCCTGACCGTGAGGATAAATCAATCAGTGGAACGCCTTGACTCCAAAAGTTGTAAATGCTCCAACACGGGAAGAGATTGGACAAACGTTTGTCTGGAATGGGATAGGGCAGTGATGGCTAACTTTTTTGCCATCGCGTGCCAAAAGCGGGGGAGCGTGGGGTCGCGCACTTGCGTGCCCATACCCATAATTCTATGTGCCCCACCCCCCACGCATGCACACACAACCCCCCACACACACTTCCTCCATTTTTGGCACAGTAGACCTGTTGTTTTTTTTAATTAATTAATTTATTTTTATATGCCGCCCTTCTCCAGAGACTCAGGGCGGCTTACAATGCGTTAAGCAATAGCCTTCATACTTTTGTATATTTTATACAAAGTCAGCTTATTGCCCCCACAAACTGGGTCCTCATTTTACCCACCTTAGAAAGGATGGAAGGTTGAGTCGACCTTGAGCTTGGTGAGATTCGAACTCGCAGTAATTGCAGGCAGCTGGATGTTAAATGCTGCCTTAGTAGGAGCCTCCTACGCCACTCAGGCTCCACTCAGTTTTTTGCTCTCCCCAGGCTCCAGAGCCTCTCTAGGAGCCTGGGGAGAGCAAAGAATTGGCCTTCCCCACCTTCCAGAGGCAGGAAACAGACTATTTCCCTACTTCTGGGTGTGCGCCAGAGCTGAGCTCGCGCGCCCACCGATATGGCTCCGCGTGCCACATAGCTTCGCCATCACGGGTCTCCTGCTTGAGTAGGGGGCTGGACTAGAAGACCTCCAAGGTCCCTCCCAGCTGTTATTCTGGAAAATCATGAATAGGCTCCCAGGGTGGTTTTTTGCCCTTCATTTCCAGTTCTGCTGCCAGTCAGTAATTTGCAAGCCTTTTCAGAGAGCCCAAACCCTTTGATTTTAATTGATATCGCTCTGCACGCACCCTCCCATAGATATTTAACCTGGAAACAAAAGATGAAGGAACCAACAGAATCCCTGGCATGGAGGATCTCGAAACTCATAACAAGATGGCTTTGTCGCTCCATCACTGGAGGCTTTTTAAGACGAGAGAGGGCAGCCGCTCGTCTGCAATGGTCTAGGCTAGGGTCTCCTGCTTGAGTAAGGGGTTAGAGACGAGACGACCTCCCAAGGTCCCTTCCAGCTTTATTCTCATTGATTTGATCTAGGGTTGAGCATGGGGATGGACTAGAAGACCTCCAAGGTCCCTTCCAGCTTTATTCTCATTGATTTGGTCTAGGGTTGAGCAGGGGGATGGACTAGATGACCTCCAAGGTCCCTTAGCTTTATTCTCATTGATTTGATCTAGGGTGAGCAGGGGGGATGGACTAGATGACCTCCAAGGTCCCTTCCAGCTTTATTCTCATTGATTTGATCTAGGGTTGAGCATGGGGATGGACTAGAAGACCTCCAAGGTCCCTTCCAGCTTTATTCTCATTGATTTGGTCTAGGGTTGAGCAGGGGGATGGACTAGATGACCTCAAGGTCCCTTCCAGCTTTATTCTCATTGATTGATCTAGGGTTGAGCAGGGGGATGGACTAGATGACCCTCCAAGGTCCCTTCCAGCTTTATTCTCATTGATTTGATCTAGGGTCCCCTGCTTGAGCATGGGGATGGACTAGAAGACCTCCAAGGTCCCTTTCAGGTTTACTCTGATTGATTTGGTCTAGGGTCTCCTACTGAGCACGGGGATGGACTAGACGACCTCCAAGGTCCCTTCCAGCTCTATTCTCATTGATTTGATCTAGGGTTGAGCATGGGGATGGACTAGACGACCTCTAAGGTCCCTTCCACCTTTACTCTGATTCCTCCGCGGCTCTGCATGACCGCTTTCTGCACCCACAACCCCCCCCCTTTTTGCCCCCCCCCAGACCCCCCACCCCCCTCTGGGCCAAACGGAGCATCCTCCCTCTCTTATCCGTTCCAAAAGCAAAGACGCTCCGTTCCCGCCGAGGGGTCGCGCGAAGGGACAGCGGGGAAGAGGAACCTCCGTCCGGGCAAAGCGAAGGGATTCCCCGACTCGGTGAGCCTATCTCCGGGCCGGATTCCGCGCCAAGGCCGCCAGTTGCTGACCCTTCCCCCGCGGCTGCAGGGCGGCTCGGCTCGGCCCGGCCTTCTCGGCTGTCCTGAGGGCTTCCTGCTCCCTTCCCGCCCCGGGGCCCATTTTGGCTTCCTCTCCCCTCAGCTCCGCCTGGTCCCTGAGGGCTCCTCGGCCCCTGCAGGGCCTCCTCCGCTTCCCCGAGGGTCAGGCCTCCCTTCCCCGTCCAGGCCGGGCCGTCTCCCGCCCTCCCCGCCCGCTCGGATCCTCCTCCCCGGGCTTCCCCACTCACGCGGCGGCGGCGGCGGCGGGAGCAGCGGCAACGAGGGCTGGAGCCGGGAGACACCCGAACACGCTTGCTTCTCGGGCCCCGCCCCTCCGCCGCTGCCATTGGCCCGCGAGGCTCTCGGCCCCGCCCTCTCCCAGGCTGGCTTAATCGCTATTGGCCGGCTTTCCGTCTAGCCGCGCCCCTTCTCCGGGACCATGCAGCCCTCATGGAGTTTTTTAAGGCCTCCGCCGAAGGTCTCACCGCTTCCTTCCTTCCAAGCGGGGTTCCTATTGGTTGGCTGCCGGGAGGTCACGCGCCGCCGAGGCTTGGTTTCGATTGGGCAGATTGTGGAATAAATCTGGTTCCTCTCGGGCGATTGGTGGCGCCGGGCTGCGTTTTTCATTGGTCGCTTTACACGGCGGAGGGAGAAGTTGGGGCGCCACTCGGGGCTTCGCCTCAGAAAGAGGCGGGGCTGAAGAAACAAGGTCAGCGGTGAAGAGCGGGCGCAAGGTCAGGTGGCTATCCCGAAGTGCAGCGCGGGAACCAGTGAGTTTTTGGGCCAGAGGCGCCCCGCGGAAACCATAGAGAAGTGGGTTGCTCACTCTTTCGCCCGCTCCAATGGTTTCCATGGAAACCCTTTTAGACGGTTTCTAGGCTCCTCCTTAGGAGGAGCATCCAGGCTAAATATGCTTTTCTTTAGGAAATAATTACTCTCCCGTGAATTTGACTGCAGCAGGTCTCATATTTGCAACCTCACGTGCAGTATGGGACTTTCACGGGGTTCTTCCACCCTATTTTCACTGCACCCCAGAAAATGATGGTTTCTAAGCCCCCCTTTGGGGGAATATCTCTATTCTAATGCATTCTGCCCTCAGGGCAAGACCGCCACTCTCTACCTGGCCCTTAGTGGAGGCAAGCCATCCTCATTTTATTTATTAATTCAATTTATATGCCGCCCCTCTCCGAAGACTTAGGGCGGCTACATGAGGACTACAACTCCCATCACTCTCAGCCAGCCTGTTTTTTTAGGACTAGCTGTGCTTCCTTTCCCCATCAAAAAAAGAACACATTGTGACAGCCACAGTAGATTTGGAAAATTGTATTTATTTATTTTTTTAACAAACATCCATCCAGAGTATAAAAATTTCCCTCTGTGTCCCTGCTGAAATTCAACCCCTCAAGGGTATCGGATTGAGGCACGTAAAAGAAAGCAGGGAAAAAAAATAAGGCATTAGTGTGCTTGTGTGCGACAATTGTTCCCTCCCGTTGACCCTGAGATTCAGGTCTTGTTAGCAGGATAGGTGAGCAACAGCTATGACAACAAAATCATAAACACAATTTAAAAAATCCCACAGTGCCAATTGGTACCCGCTTCTAGAAAAAAAAACAGCAGCAGTGGCAGAGCGTAAGAAGGCTTTGCCTCGGAATGCTAAATCAACTCATTTTTAAAAATTCATTTATTTAAAATGTAGTTTTAAAAACATCCAACTCGAGAACAGCGATTGGGAAAAACAAACAAACAAACAAAAAACCTTTCACATTTTCAGGTCAGGAGCCCAAAAGGATTAGAGTATTAACGGAGCAGAACGGAAGATCTGAGGATGTAAAAAAATCACAATTCAAGTAACGACTGGAGCCTGTGTCAGAATGCTAAAAAAAAGTACAAAGGCAGGAACAGTTTGGCACACCCAATTTTACTAAATGGAGCAAGCTCTCCATTTAGAAATTTGGAAGGCTCTCCCCCTGGGAACCACAGTGAGGGAGCATTCAGGTCAGACTCAGTGCCTTACAAGTGTCAGTGTACAAATCCCGTGATTTTTATTATTTTTTTTGGCCACTTTTCTGCAATATGCAGGCAACCTTGCTATCTGGTTAATTCCCAACCATTTGAGGAGTGTATATGCTGGTGCCTCCAAGGAAATTTTTTCAAAGCTGCATCTTTAGGGTAAGCCTTTCCCTAGCCGAGTTTAATTGTGCTTTTAGCTTACTCCAAACACAACATCTCCATGCAATGCAGTAGAATTAGGGGCAGGATTAATAAGCAGTCTTACAAAACTATTTCTGCATGATTCATTTCAGAATTCCCTCAATGCATCTGTTTCCCTTTTTTGGAAATTCTCCATGCATGGTCAGCTTGATGCTGGAAAGGCTCAGGTGTAAGCTTTCTTCATATGACTTTTTTTTTTAAAAAAATGTTTTTTGAAGGGTTCAAGAGTTAGTCTTAACCAGTGGTGGGATTCAAGTAATTTAACAACCGGTTCTCTGCCCTAATAAATTCTTCCAACAACCAGTTTGCCAAACTGCTCAGAAAGTTAAACAACCGGTTCTCCCGAAGTGGTGTGAACTGGCTGAATCCCACCACTGGGCTTAACTCTTAGTTAAGCTGAGCCATCTTTTACACAGATTAGGAGGGGGGGGGCAAAAAAAGCCTGATGTCCGTGATGTCACGGCAGCTTTTAAAGATGCTTTGCTCAACCCTGCGATTCGGAGCATCGGAGTCCAGAATTAGTTTAGGCTGTGAATCTTTTCACAAGATTGCCTGGAGCCTCATGGTAGGGGATAAAATCTGGGGAAGATGGGAGACCCCCACTGAGGTGAAGGTGCAAGGCACTTACAGGGTACAGAGCCTCACAGTACATATCAAGAGAGAGCGCTTCTACCTCACTGTAAACAGATTCACCAGTATTCAACTACATTCCCCGGATGGCAACATCCTTGTAGTGTTCAGAAGCAGCACAGGTCGGATTGGAAGATCAACTAGATCTCTGCCCTGGAGCCCTCTCGAGGAAAGATCCGCAACTGAAAGTCCCAAGAAGTCCAAAGCACAGATTTGTCAAGCTACTAGAAGGCTGGAAGAAATACTGATCCTGGCTGGATTGAAGTGGAAGGCACAAAGTAGTGAAAACCCTTCGGAGCAAGATACGGTCGTGCCCACTTAAGGCATGTGTGAAAGCTGGAAGGTCCAGGAGATGGGTACCTAAGAAGATATGATGGAGAAAGAAACTGCTTCTCTCCCGGACCAACACAGGATATCTTTTTTAGCAGCATCCCCTTTTTTGGAGGGGGACTGTGGCCGTTGAGATTAGCCGGTAGATTTAGACGTACATGGCTCTGGACATCACGAAGGCCTTATCGGTGGGCAGGGATGTCAAAGCCTCGTCTTCCTCCGTGGCCGCAAAGGAGAGGGCGTCGTAAATGGGGTTGATCTGGTCTAAATATTCATCTTCCAGACTGGGGCCGGCCTCGCCAGCCGTCTCTCGTTCCTCCAGCGTTGGTAGCTCGTGGTATCGCGGCACCTCCTGCAGAAGGTTAAGGGAAGAGGGAGAGGAGAGGCGGTCACTAACTGGGACCGTAATGCAGTCCTACTAATGACGGGCAGCAAAGTGGCGCTGCTGTTTGTAGCACGGTGAAGATGGAGCACTCGGAGGCTACGTTCCCACAACCTGACATTTGATTATTTATTTCTTAGGTTTTTTTCTTATCCCGCCTTTATTTTATAAGTAAGTCAAGGCGGAGGAAATACCAAATACCCCTTCCTCTGCCTCTTTCCACTCCCCCACAACAACAACCCTGTGAGGTGGGTTGGACTGAGAGAGAGAGGGAGAGAGGGACTGTCCCCTAGCTGGGTTTGAGGGGTAAGACAGAACTAGAACTCACTGTCTCCTAGTGATTGGCCCAAAGTCACCCAGCCGGCTTTCAGGCCTAAGGCGGGACTAGAACTCACAGGCACCTAGTTTCTAGGCCAGCACTTTCCCCACGACTCCTAGAAGAGCCTATGTCTGACCCGACTATACTTGGCCTGGTTCACACAACCTCCTAAGGCAATGGCAGAGGTGTCGCACATTACACTGAACTACCAGGTACCCAATCACAGTTTACCACGGCCAAGTGCGTTGTGTGAACCCGCCCAGCCCCACAGTGGCCTGGCCTGAACTGCAGAAATGCAAAATAATCCTTCTACAGCCTCTACACATACTTGGCAGAGGTAGATCTTCTTTCCCCCTGTCATGAGGACTAGAAACTTGTGTTACATAAGGAAAAAAGGACAGCCAGGCGTCTCCAAATTCTTACCTGTGCATCCCTGACTCCCCACACTTTTGAGGATTTGATTCCTGATGTGCAAGATGAAATTTGGGAAGGCTACGTTTATGTAGCGTTTGATGTAAAGATTCTCGGCGTAATGCCCACCCAGCTGTCTGCATTAAAACCCATTTCAGGTATGATTTGTTCACCAGCTTCCCCCTCACCTCTTTCGTGGTGGCGGTGGTACCGACCCCTCCAAAGAGATTGTCCGTGGCGTTGGATTCAAAGTAAGGCGCTTTGAATGGGAGACTTTCAGCCCCAGCGGCGTTAGCAACCTGGAATAAACCAGAGAGGTGGTGAAAAGACAGGATCGCGCCTACGCTGTCAGGATACCGCTTTGCCTCGGAGAGTCTGACGGCTGCTGAAAAAGATCCTGCCTCGCATCCTATCAAGTCACTTCCAAGGAGGAATTTTAAAATGATGATTACATTTATAATGTACACATTTAATTTCATTGTATGAGGTGCAAACTAAACCAGGAGTCTCCAACCTCGGCAACTTTTAAGACTTGTGGACTTCAACTCCCAGAATTCCTCAGCCAGCAAATTCTGGGAGTTGAAGTCCACAAGTCTTAAAAGTTGCCGAGGTTGGAGACCCCTGAACTAAACTACAGGTAGTCCTTGACTTAACAACCCACAATCGAGCCCAAAATTTCTGCGGTTAAGTGAGACATTTTTTTAAAAATTTGATTTATATGCCGCCCTTCTCCGGAGACTCAGGGTGGCTTACAATGCGTTAAGCAATAGCCTTCATTCTTTTGTATATTTATACAAAGTCAGCTTATTGCCCCCACAAACTGGGTCCTCAATTTACCTACCTTAGAAAGGATGGAAGGCTGAGTCAACCTTGAGCCTTGGAGAGATTCGAACCAGCAGTAATTGCAGACAGCTGTGTTAATAACAGGGTGCTTAGACCACTGTACTATACAAGGCTGTACTATACAATTTGTCCCATTTTATGACCTTTTTTTTTCTGGCCACCGTTGTTAAGCGACTCACGGCAGTTGTTAAGTGAGTAATATGGTTGGGGAGTGAATCTGGCTTCCCCGTTGACTTTGCTTGTCGCAAAAGGGGATCACGTGACCCTCCCCGGGACACTGTGACCGTCATAAAGATGAGCCAGTGGCCAAGCGCCTGAATTTTGTAGGAATTGGATATGTCTACTTTAACCAAAAGAAGAACTAGGGGTGACATGATAGCAGTGTCCCAATATTTGAAGGTCTGCCACATAGAAGAGGGGGCTTAACCTATTTTTCAAAGCACCAGAAGGCAAGACAAGAAGCAACGGATGGAACCTAATCTAGGAGAGAGGCAACCTGGAATTAAGGAGAAACTTCCTAACAGTGAGGACAATTAACCGGTGGAACTGCTTGCCACCAGAAGTTGTGGGTGCTCCATCACTGGAGGCTTTTAAGAAGAGATTGGACAACCATTTGTCTGAAATGGTGTAGAGATTTCTGCCTTGAGCAGGGGGTTGGACTAGAAGACCTCCAAGGTCCCTTCCAACTCTCGTTATTTCGAAAGCAGATGTCTGCAGACCGTGCTGGGAGCAGGGTTGATACTTACCGGCTCTGTTTCTTCCGACAGTTGGCAAGGAGGGGGCGGCTTGTACGCTGGGGGGCCTTCCAAACTGAAGAGACAGCAAGAAACGAGAGCCCGTTTAGCAATCTCTTTTGCATTTAGGCACGGTGCCAACCGATAGAGTGAGGTTGAGATTGGAGTGTTTGCTTTCAGGGGATGTGAGATTGGGGGAATCTCAGATCTTCCCCTACTTATTGAGCCTTTTGGGTTTTCATTAGGAGGATGCAAGACTTGTCCCGCCTCCTTTTGGCCCCACCCCTCCTATTTACAGCTGAAGCCCCACCCACTCATATTAGGCAGCTCCACTCCAGGGTTTATGCCAGGAGTGGGCAACTGACAACTTTACAACATTTGGACTTCAACTCCCAGAATTCCTGAGCCAACGGGGAGTGGGCAATGATGGCCTCTGTATGACTATGGACTTCAACTCCCAGAATTCCTGAGCCAATTGGGAGTGGGCATGATGGCCTCTGTATGACCTATGGACTTCAACTCCCAGAATTCCTGAGCCAACCGGTGAGTGGGCAGTGATGGCCTCTGTATGACCTGTGGACTTCAACTCCCAGAATTCCTGAGCAATTGGGAATGGGCAATGATGGCCTCTGTATGACTATGGACTTCAACTCCCAGAATTCCTGAGCCAATTGGGAGTGGGCAATGATGGCCTCTGTATGACCTGTGGACTTCAACTCCAGAATTCCTGAGCCAATTGGGAGTGGGCAATGATGGCCTCTGTATGACCTATGGACTTCAACTCCCAGAATTCCTGAGCCAATTGGGAATGGGCAATGATGCCTCTGTATGACCTATGGACTTCAAGTCCCAGAATTCCTGAGCCAATTGGGAGTGGGCAATGATGCCTCTGTATGACCTATAGACTTCAACTCCCAGAATTCCTGAGCCAACGTGAGTGGGCAGTGGATGGCCTCTGTATGACCTGTGGACTTCAACTCCCAGAATTCCTGAGTCAGCCATGCTGGCTCAGGAATTCTGGGAGTTGAAGTCCACAATTCATAAAGGTGCTATTTATAGCAATACAATCTTTGACCGAATGGGGCCTGTTCCCACTGCAAGGAAATTCAGGGTGGGTGGGTGTCCCCTCCCCCAGCCCCCACTACCCCCTCTTCATGGCTTCCCCAAAGCCAACTGGCTGACTTACTCGTCCTCCTCAGGATCCATCCGATTCTTTTGCTGCTGCCGACAGATCAGGATTCCGGTGGCCAGCACCGCCAAGGCCACGATGGTGGCTATGAGGCCTCCGATGATGCCCCCTGTGGTGCCTGCACCAACCAGTTTGGGCTTCTCTGGACAAGGGAATAAAAGCATAAGCTCAGTAAAAGACAACCCAATTCTGCTCAAAGGTTCACCCAACAAGGAGTCTGGGACCTATACATAGCATGTTACAGGTAGTCCTCGGCTTACGACTACAATTGGGAACATGTTGTTGCTAAGCGATGCGGTCGTTAAGTGAGTCACGTCCAGTTTTACAGCCATGGCCGTCGCTTAATGACTGCCAGAACAAACATCATAAAATCCAAGTCAGTCCCTCGGCCAATCCTTTTTTATGACCGCAATGGGCAAGGTCTGTGACAGTTGTAACTAGAGGATTACCTTGACTCCCAAGTTCCCTTTCTTGAAACCATGCCATCTTCAGGTAGTCCTTGACTTATGACCACAATTGAGCCCAACATTTATGTTGCTAGGCAAGACAGTTGTTGTTAAGTGAGCTTTGTTCTGTTTTACGACCTTTCTTGCCACAGTTGTCAGGCGAATCACTGCAGGTGCTAAGCTAGTAAAATGGTTGTTAAGTGAATCTGGCTTTCCCCCATTGACTTGGGGGAAGGTCGCAAAAGGGGATCACGTGACCCCCGGGACACTGCAAACTGTCATAAATATGAGTCAGTTGCTATTTGATCGCGTCACCATGGGGATGCTGCAACGGTCACAAGTGTGAAAACTGGTCATAAGTCACTTTTTTCAGTGCTGTTGTCACTTTGGTCACTAAACGAACTGTTGTAAATCGAGGACTACCTGTAATGGGTCCCGGGAAGCCAGTCTCCGTGGTCCTGGGGCCTCCCCACCAGAATATCTCCTTCCCACCCCCAACAGACTCGCAATGTCCCACCTCTGCTGTCCATTAAGCGAGTCTGCCTCAGTTTCCCAGAATCCTAGACTTATCAGGGTTCACACCTGCCTGCGAGATTGTTTATCTGGCGTCGCCCAGAGTCAATTAAATTGGGTGGCTTTCTTAATTTGATTAGTTAATTCTTTCCTTCCCCGAGTATTGAGCTGTCATGCAAAATATTTCCGGCCGTTTCTTCACTGGCGCTGGGTTCAGCCCTCACGAAGCGTGTTTGATTCATAGCTAAACATGTTGGGTGATCTCAGATACTCTTGGCATCTCAGAATAACAGAGGGACCTTGGAGGTCTTCTAGTCCAACCCCCTGCTCAAGCAGGAGACCGTATATCAGGGGTCCCCAAACTTGGCAGCTTTAAGACTTGTGGACTTCAACTCCCAGAATTCTCCAGCCATCAATGCTGGAATTCTGGGAATTGAAGTCCACAAGTCTTAAAGCTGCCAAGTTTGAAGACCTCTGCCATATACCATTTCAGACAAATGGCTGTCTAATCCCTTCTTAAAAACCTCAAGTGAAGATATAATTTAAGCAAGTGTTTTTCAACCTTGGCTACTTTAAGATGGGTGGACTTCAACTCCCAGAATCCCCCAGTGAGCTATGCTGGTTGCAAGGTTGAGAAAAAAAAAGCTGGCTGGGGAATTCTGGGAGTTGAAGTCCACACATCTTAAAGGGGCCAAGGTTGAGAAAAAAAAAATGCTGCTGGGGAATTCTGGGAGTTAAAGTCCACCCATCTTAAAGGGGCCAAGGTTGAGAAAAAAAAATGCTGGCTGGGGAATTCTGGGAGTTGAAGTTCACCTATCTTAAAGGGGCCAAGGTTGAGGAAAAAAAAGCTGGCTGGGGAATTCTGGGAGTTGAAGTCCACCCATCTTAAAGGGGCCAAGGTTGAGGAAAAAAAATGCTGGCTGGGGAATTCTGGGAGTTGAAGTCCACCCATCTTAAAGGGCCAAGGTTGAGAAAAAAAAATGCTGGCTGGGGAATTCTGGGAGTTGAAGTCCACCCATCTTAAAGGGGCCAAGGTTGAGGAAAAAAAGCTGCCTGGGGAATTCTGGGAGTTGAAGTCCACCCATCTTAAAGGGGCCAAGGTTGAGAAAAAAATGCTGGCTGGGGAATTCTGGGAGTTGAAGTCCACCCATCTTAAAGGGGCCAAGGTTGAGAAAGCCTGTTCTGGCTCGCCTTTTGCACTTCCAGCCACTAGATGGCGCTCCAGCTCTGCATGGCAACCTTTCAGCTTAGTTCCCAGCAGAGTTCTGGTTGAACCTGCCTTGAATATATATCAAATCGTCTATTATTCACCACTTTGCAAACAGGGAAGGCGAGAGAGTGGGCACAGCATGGAGATATGGTTTTTATTGGCTGCCTGCATCCTTTTACAACTTCAGCTGCTGGGCGTTGGGTGGCTGTCTGGTGAGAATGGGAATTCCCTAAGTGAATACAGATACCGTTCTAGAATACGACAAGCAAGGCGCTTTGGGAATTCAGAGGGAATCAAGTTTCCTAGTTTCTAAGCAACTGTACCACGCACGAGCCAGCATTGGTGCTGGACACAGAGGTTGACATCATGCAATAAAAACCTCAAAACATAAAGCTTGCATTTTTCCTTTATTGAAATCAAGTTTCTAGTCCTTAAGATATACGTCAGCAGGGGAGGCATACGCCGAAAGCATAGATCAGTTCCCAGCTATCAGAAAATAGGGTTTCAAGTCGCCAAGCCATCTTTCGTGCCAAGGGCGGAACTAGAATTCACCATCTCCTGGTAATTGGCCCAAGATCACCCAGCTGGTTTTCATGCCTAAAGAGGGACTAGAGCTCACCGTCTCCTGGTGATTGGCCCAAAGTTACCCAAATGGCTTTCATGCGGGACTAGAACTCCCAGTCTCCTAGTGATTGGCCCAAAGTCACCCAGCCGGCTTTTCTGCATGAGGCGGAACTAGAACTCTCTGATTCCTGGCCCAAAGTCGCCAAGTCATCTTTTGTGCCAAGGGCGGAACTAGAACTCACCGTCTCCTGGTGATTGGGCCAAGATCACCCAGCTGATTTTCATGCCTAAAGAGGAACTAGAACTCACCGTCTCCTGGTGATTGGCCCAAAGTCACCCAATGGCTTTCATGCCTAAGTGGGACTAGAACTCCCAGTCTCCTGATAATTGGCTCAAGATCACCTAGCTGGCTTTCATGGCTAAGGCAGGGCTAGAACTCCCAGTCTCCTGGTGATTGGCCCCAAATTACCCAGCCAGCTTTTATGTCTAACGCAGTACCAGAACTCCCCCTCTCCCGCTTTCAACCTGATGCCTTAACCACCCAACCAGGTGCAGGAACAGATACCTGCGAAACAACTCTTAAGCTCTTAAGTAACCGAAGACTATTATTTCACATCCCATTTCCTGTCACTCATCCAAGCCCCAGAAAACCAACGAAGAGCAAAGACAAGCGTCCCGAGGTCCATCCGAATTTCCCCTTTGCAACGCGAAGACTTTCAGAAACTGCCACCTGGCACACCTGGAAACCGAAAGGCAACCTTTCCTGCACCATCTGACCGCTTGCCAGCTTGGCATGTTCATCCCAGCAACAGATTCCACCCCCCACCACACACACCCCGCAGTCCTCCTGGGGAAAAAGCCATAATTACACACAGCCCCATACATTATGCATGGAGGCGCTGGGAGCAAACGGCCTCTCTCGCAGGCAGCTCCGAATTCTTATTTTTAGATTCGAGAGGAAGGTTTCCGGTGGAATTCTTTTTGACGCCAGCTCGAATGCCAAGAAGCTGAGCCGGTTAAGGGATACCGAAGAAAGAAGAGAAAAGGGAAACATGGAACGGCGGAAGACAGGTGGAGAAATAATTGCTTCCCTTGGTAGAGGAAGGATTCGCCTATTTTTCTTTTTTTTTTCCTCCCCTAAGTCAAGAAATGAAGAAAATTGGACAGGCTGGCACATCTGGGCTACGAACCTGCAAGATCAGGGGAATCGCCCTACAGGTGTGAGGGGCTTCTCTGACCCACCCCTGGCTCCATCTAGGATGTCTTCATACAGCACATCTTATCTGGGCTGGTTAAAACCCCAGTCTGTGTACAGCAGAGGTGGTATTAGCTGGTTCGGACCGGTTCGCTCAAACTGGTAGTGGAAATCGTCCAATTTAGGCATGTTTTTGAGGCCGGGTGCATGCGCGGAGGGCATGGACGCTCACATTTGTCCAGTCTCTTCTTCAAAACTTCCAGTGTTGGAGCATTCACAACTTCTGGTGGCAAGCAGTTCCACTGGTTAATTGTTCTCACTGTCGTGAAATTCCTCCTTAGTTCTAGGTTGCTTCTCTCCTGGTTTAGTTTCCATCCGTTGCTTCTTGTCCTGCCTTCTGGTGCTTTGGAGAATAGCTTGATTCCCTCTTGGGGGCAGCCCCTGAGATATTGGAAGGCTGCTATCATGTCTCCCCTAGTCCTCCTTTTCATTAAACGAGACCAGGGATCAGCAACCTGCGGCTCTGGAGCCGCATGCGGCTCTTTGGGCCCTCTGCTGTCAGGTGATCCCACCACTGGCTGGCCCCGCCCCTTTCCCTCCCCTCCCAGTCACTCCTCACCTGTCCTGAGAAAGTAAGGGTAACGCTGGGGGATGGAGAAGCGGCCAGGGCAGAGACAGGGAGATACAGAGAGAGGGGGAGAGAGAGATGTCAAAAGGATTTTGTGGTTCCCGGTGTTTTTTAACAACTGGTTCTCTGCCCTAATGACCGGCTGGGTAGGCATGGCTGGGGGGGGGGGTGTCATGTGACTGGTGGAAGTGAGTGACATCGAGTTGGCCACGCCCACCCAGGTTTTGTGGCTCCCGGTGTTTTCTTTTCTGTGGGAAACGGGTCCAAATGGCTCTTTGAGTATTTAAGGTTGCAGACCTCTGAACTATTTATTTATTTATTTATTTATTTATTTATTTATTTATTTATTTATTTATTTATTTATTTATTTATTTATTTATTTATTTATTTATTTATTTTTATATGCCGCCCTTCACCAGAGACTCAGAGCGGCTTACAATGCGCTAAGCAATAGCCTTCATAATTTTGTATATTTTATACAAAGTCAGCTTATTGCCCCCACAAACTGGGTCCTCATTTTACCTACCTTAGAAAGGATGGAAGGCTGAGTCGACCTTGAGCCTGGTGAGAATCGAACTCGCAGTCA